CTGTTCCCCCGAGCACAGCCAGGAGTGATCAGGAACAACGGTCACAAGCTAGCACAGGGTAGGTTTAGGTTAGACATCAGAAGGCGCTATTTCACGGTCAGGGTGGCTAGGGCCTGGAACCAACTTCCAAGGGAGGTGGTGCAGGCTCCTACCCTGGGGGGGTTTTAAGAAGAGGTTAGATGAACACCTTGCTGGGGTCGTTTGACCCCAGTACTTTTTCCTGCCATGGCAGGGGGTCGGACGAGATGATCTTCTCAGGTCCCTTCTGACCCTAGAAACTATGAAACTATGAAAATAATTCACATTTAGATATGTAAAGGGTTTTATTTATTCTTTTGATTGAACTGTCAATGTGGTATGTATTACTTAATATCTCTAAATCTCAGAATGTAAAGCTCATTCCTGATCTAAAATTCCAGAATGCAGAAACACAGAAGATTACATACTTTGAAAACTGGTGTCATTTTAGAGAAGATGCATTGTAACCTGCACATATAAGACCCTGGCTTAAGCTCTGGTATCTTCTGTTTTAAAACTTCAGCTGTATCTTGAAATTTCATAATGGAAACCGTGATGTATTTTTGTTACAGCAAATGTTAACAGATGCGGTTTCAGTCTTTTATTGACAGGTTGCATGCATCAAGTAGTTGCCTGTTAGTGCTAAACTAAATGGTTCCCGTGCAGAAAAACTAGTCCCATTTCCTAAATGGAAAAATAATTCACTTTTAACTCTGCTAAATAGTAAGTATGTTAGCCTACGCTGTACACTTTAGAGTGAAGAATATGCTTTGACATGGGTGCTATTTCTTAGTTACATTTATTGCAATATAGTGACTTCAGATTTATTTCAGTTTTTCCCACAGCTTACTAAATTTCTTGCCTCACACTGACCTTTCAAGATGTAGAATCAGGCAGAAAGGCTGGAACAAGTCACTTGAAAAAGGCTTGTTTGATAGAAGTTACCTACAAAGGATCCCAAGTTCCTCCTTTTAAAGTTAGGGGACCTATGCATGAGGGATGGATCACAACTATCTTAACTGAAATGTTAGTCCTCTGATCATCATGGGACCAGCTATATTCTAGTTGAACACATGGAACTGTGCCATTCATCTCGCTGGAAGCAGGCTTGGGTTCTTCGTGCCACCCATAGTTTCATAGTAGCTAGCATCAGGCGGGACCTAAACAGATCATCTAGCCTGACCCCCTGCCACAGGCAGGAATGAATGCTGAGTTCACAACACCCCAGACAGGTGATCATTCAACTTCCTCTTGAATTTGCTCAAGATAGGGGCGAGGACCACTTCTCTGGGAAGTTGGTTCCAGATTTTGGCCACCCTAACTGTAAAAAATCCATCTCTTGGAGAAGCTTCTAGTTCTTTTGTACCTGTTTCCAGTTTTCACATGGGCAGCTCATTTAAAGGGTAGCAAACAGAAACATTTCCCTACTAAAATTTTAATCTGTATATTGGAGTCATAAGACTGGAGGAGATAGAGGGGTCATATTTTCCAGGAGGCATGGGGGGGCAGAAAATATATATATAGATATATAAATAAATAAATAAATATGCAGTTATGTTTGGATGGAGAATTTTTGCTTTTAAAGCAAAACAGAGAAGCCAGAGGAAGTAGCAAAAGCCCTTCTGTGATCTGGATAGATTCCAGTCACTAAACTGCCATCTTCCTGCTGGCTCTTGGGATAATAGCACAATACACTTTCAGAAAAGAGAAAAAGATCCAAAGTTTGTCATGTTTTAAGAATCCAGGTAACAGAAAAAAGAGACCAAGTTTCCCCTTCAAATTATATCTACCCTGGATTTTGCTTCCTCCCTTTTGTGAAAGATTGTTTAACGTATAGATTACACTGATCCTGATGGGGTTCTTTGGCCTAAATTGATATTGACCTGATATTGTTGGCACAACCTTACCTAGGAAGGAAAATCAAGAGGATGTTTCCTCCCTGGCATGACTATAGTTTTAGATCATTCAGACAGTGCTTTGACGGCCAACTTAATTTTGAAAGTTGCTGTGGTAAATTTATACAAATTTTACAGTCATTAAAAAGAAAAATTCTACATGTGTATGCTGCCAAAAATGGCTACACTTCTGTAGCAGAAAAGTAGGGGACTGGATGCAATTCTGAATTCTACAGTTCCAAATTCTTCCTCTGTCTTGAAAGCTGCGGCATCATGTCATTCAAGGGTTTTTTGCTGTGTGTCAGTAAGCTAGCAGAGCTGGGAATAGAACTGGGGTGTCTTGAATTCTTGGTCCTCTGCTGTAGCAGCTGGACAGCTTCCTTCTTTTGGCTACACTGATTTCCAGATGAAGTCAGATATAAAATAAATGTTTGTGCTCTTCAGGTAAATGGGCTGCTAAGAAGTCACCAGCCATGACAAGAATATTTCATGGATTTAACAGCCTGGAAAGAACTCAACTGATCTAATATGGAATACTATTCCATAGCATAGATCTACCTATAATTTTTCAGTGTGCCTAAGAAAGGGGATGTGATCTTTTCTTTGTTATGTATACAGTGGACAAACAGTACTTGCCTCCCTGGAATATTCAGAAGTTTAAAATTTAAAGTGCTTTGAAGTTTTCAGATGATAGATGTGTGATGTATACGTTTCCCCCTTAGGTCTGGGAAACACTTTTGTAGACAGCACTATGTTTGTATGGCTATCTTGGAGTGCCTTGCTTCAGAGACAGATTTGTGGTTCAAAAACTGTCAGAATGATTGTGAAGTATGTCTGAGGACACTGGGGTTCTTTTTCCCCCTTCTACATGAGAATGTTATTTATTAGAAATACTGAGATTTTTCTGAGAGAGAAAATTAACGTCCATAATGACAGCAGATCCTTATTCCCTCAGTGCAGATATGCATCTCTTCTTTCCTGCAGGTGATAAGTCCGTGTGGGTTATTACCTAGAGATCTGTGACATGAAAGAGGAGGATGCTAGTACTCTTGTGTCTTTAATTATGTCATATATCAACAAAACATGGTAATTCCCTCCAGCAGCTACTGGCTGGTGCACTGAAAGTGCCTGTGGATGTCTAAAGTAAATTCAGCTTGCAGTGAAATAGCTTTCATGCCTGGCTCACTGCAGGTACCATTCAAATGACAACAGTAGCAAGCAAGTGAAGTTATGGTGGATTTTGTCAGCCGTTAAAACTCTACTGATAAATTAAATTGCCATAAGATTCAGAGCCCCAGTGCAACAGCAATCAGGAATTCCTGATGTTTCTGATACAAATGTGTTGGTGTTAGACATTAGGTACACAAATGCAGACTGTGGGGAGGACAGCCTTCATGGGATGAAGCAGCATTTCCCACCTAGTTCCTTAGCTTTGGCATCTCCATGGAAGACAGTGATGCTTTCCAACCCCACGTGCAGCTGGGTGCTCTTCTGAGAAATGGTCCTGGGGTTCTCTCACACCTTCAAGGGTGCCTTTCAGCTCCAAGCCCCTCTCTGCCATCTCCTGCTGGACCATGGTACCAGAATGAGATGCTGCAAAGGTCACCCCTCTGACCTATGGTGCCTCAGCTTTAAGTTGCTGCAGAATTTCCAGTTTCTGTAGAAACAAGAGACAAGTACTTCAGAGTTCAGGTTTGGGGCCTTGCACACAATCCAACCAACCCAGCAAATTAGAAACATGACAGATTGCTTTTGGTCTTCAAAACGTAGTAAACTGGCTTCTGGTTCTTTGATTAGAAATGGTATACAAGAGAAGACTGAATTACGTTGTCTGTTCTGTAATCAGTTTTGTGTTCCGTCTTTTACTGCTTCCAACATGAGCTCTTTGGGTTACATGTGTGTACACATGTACGGGGCGTATCAAAAGGGAACTGTGATTTCATGTGCATCTTCCAGGTGAGTAATGGAATAGTAAGCAAATACAAAAGGCAAGGGCATTTCAGAGGGCAGAGATTTTTGTGTCTATCTTATGCCTCCATAAAATATTTGAACTTCTGAGCAATGAGTACTTATTGCACATCTACCTACCACTGTAATTAATGAGTTAGGCTTCCCTGTCATCATTTGAGTCTCATTAATCAATGGTGATGTTCCTTATAAAACCATTCTGGTTATTGAATCTAACCTGTTATTTCTTGTGATTTATCATTTTTTAAAATCAGTACAGTTATCTGAATTTAATGTCTCCCATTATTTTTCAGGTGATTTTAGGTTTTGCTTTAGAATAATGTAATTTTCTTAGTAGAGAGTGAAAGCGTATCTTTTTGAAAACCTGAAGTAGGCAACATGCCTGTTGTCACAATCCGGCAGTCCTAAAATCGTCGAGAGAGTTTACAAAAGTGACTGATGTTTAAAGAAGATTTCATATTCATGAAGAACCAGTTTTGCAGCTTCCCAAACCAATACTGTCTAGATATGTGCTATTGTTTTGTAGTAAACAAACTTTTATAACCATCTGTTAAGCTCAGATTTATTTATGCTTGCCTCTGCAGTTGATTCCAATGATACCCTCTATGGTGGAGACTCCAAATTCCTAGCTGAAATTAATAAGGTGTGTGAGACGGTGATAACACAGATCCTGGACCACCTCAAGACCCTTGGAAAGGATGAGGTACATCTCTTCTAATCTTTGCTGAAGTGCAACATAAAATCACTTGCAAGGCTAAGTAAACAAGCTGTTCCTAAGGACAGTGGACTGTAGATATGCTTTGACTTTTGGAAAGCCCTGTGGACATTTGAAAAGCTAGAGAGAGGTGTATGGTCCTATTTCAGTTGGGTATTTACTCTGGGATTAGGTAGACAATAGTGTCAGTGAGGAGTAAAGTAAAACAGATCCCTGTGCTATTTTATTGTCCTGTTGCAGAGCTGAGTGTTTAGCTGTGTTCTGTACATGGCCCAGGCAGTCTAGTAGGACTGAGGAAATTCTTACTGCCCTGGTGCCAGCTCAGCTGTTGTTTTTCCTCAAGTTGTAATGCAGGGCACGTTGACAGTTCAGTCACACCAGTGATTTGCAGTGCAGAGAAGAGCCGCCCAAGCCAGCTTTACAGTAGGCTGCCCCAGTACCTGAGTTAGCTTGCCCTGGCAGCTCAGTGCAGGCTGCTGCGTGGGCAGATTCTGCAGCCTACACTGACCTCTGTGCTGCCACAGCCAGCCTACTGCCAGTGCTCCCAGGAGAGCTAGCTTGTGTATTTTTGCAGTACGCTGCAGTGTCTTCGACTGCTGTGTAGACATACGTAGCTAAAGTTTATTCAGCTACCTTCTGCTCTTGTTCTCATTCAGCTGTCAGTTCTCTCCTCATCTAACCCTGTCTTCACTTTCCCCTCAGTCCCAGGTTCTTCACTGTCAGAACCAAAGTAACCTTGAATAGACTAAGTGAGAGTTGACCAGCTAGCCTGCTTTGAACTAAAGACAGTGAAAGCTCCTTTGAGTTATAATAGTTCTGAATACCAGACAAAAGCATGACTGCAAAATATTTGCTTTAGGTGCAGAAAAGCAATCATTTTATTTTTAACCTTTTTTTGGAATGATTATATCAAAGCTCTTGTCAGAATAATGGAATCCTTGATTTGGGGTTTACGCAGATTGGAAGTAGTCTGACGTGAACGGAAGATGGCTGGCACTCTCCGTGTAACTGAAGTCACCTCTTGACACCACAACAAAGACCCCTGAAGCCGTGTTGGGTTTTGAGTTTAATTTCTCATGGCAGCAACTCTTTTTATTATTATTATTTTTATTTACTTATTTTTACCACCTCTGTTAGACTTGTGTATTACTTGAAACTTGTTGCTTATAGTGTAAAACAGGGCTGTCCATGGGCTGCCTGTGGCCCAGGAGGGGTTAAGTTGTGGCCCGTGAACTCCCACCTAACTGTGGGTGGGAGTTCACTGCTCCACCTGCAACAGCAGCCAGTCTTCAGGCTCCTCCTGTGTTCTCCAGCTGCTGCAGTATGGCACAGCGGGGAGCTAGGAGTACTTCCAGGCATTATGCATGGCAGGAGAGGGGGTCGGGGCAGCAGTGGGGGTGCAGTGTGGCAGTAGGCAGGCACCTGGTGCAGATGTGCAAGGTGATGCCTATTCGGAGCAGGGGAGCATGTGGTGTGGCCTGGCAGCCTGTGGTGTGCCTGGTGACGCTCATGTGGCATACAGCCTTTGCAGGGTTTAGAAGTTGGACAGCCCTGGGCTAAAGTATGGGGAAAATAAAAGTGCTTGGTAGAAAGATGATGGAACTGAGGGGCTGCACTTAAGTTGTGTTATTTAGCTACTTGTCAAATACAGTTTAAGGGGCTTTTTTTCCCTTCCACTTAAATGCTGGTTGTAAATTTTAGGCTTCAAAGAGGGTAACCCATAAGGTTTGCCTCCAAAAATGTATTGAGCAATATGCATTTAGGAACCCAACTACTGCTCTGAAAAGCATTGTCCTTTCTTTTGCTTCTTTATTCTTCCTAATGAAGTAAGTATAAGATTAACAAACCTCACCCTTATCCAGTGGTACACTTCAAAGTGAAGCATTAACTATTGTACATATAGCACCACAGTGAAACACAGCAAACTAGCGCTCTGCACCACCAAAAGAGACTTTTACTTTTGTGCAGTGCCATGAGATCATTAACGAGTTTGAAGAATACATGGAGCTTTGGTATTAAAGATGTTTTTTTGAAGACCCACACATGGCAATCTGTCATTCTACCAAGGTGGCTGAGCAGGTCCTATTGGGATTGGACCTTGTGATCACAGGAAATTTAGCTCTTTGAAAGCTGATCTTTTGAATACTAAAAGAGCCTCTCTTGGTAGTTCACTGAAGCAGGAGGCAGTATAGGATGGTAAGCAGGACACCGGACATGTGATCAAAGGGGACTGACTTGTTCTCTGATCCTGGCTCTGTCTGTGCCAGGTTGTGATTTTGAGCAAGTCCCTTTACTTTGCATCAGCTTCTTCAGATGTAAAACAGGGAATATTTGCCTGCCTTTGTGAAGTGTGCTGAGATTTGTGGGGGGAAAATCACTACCTAAGACCAGGTATAAACTCTTGCTTATTAAAGAACTCTGTTGTTGAGGAATTAGGGGGCTGGGAATGACTATTACAGTCACATCTGTCTATCTTAAAGGAGCACATGGCATCAAATACCCAAGATTTTTTTTTTGATTACTTCAGTGTTGATGACCTTTTATTATGCATACTAGGCTGCTTGCTTACATGAACCACATCCCTTGTGATACGGTTTTCCTTGGTTCATTTTATCTGAAGCCCATAAAAGGGCACTGATTTGTCTTGCAATACAATACCTTCACAAGAAATGCAATTTAGAGGCAGAGCAGTGCATCAAATATTACCATAATATGCCCCTCCTTTCTTTTTCTGTTCTTTTAACCTCTCTTAACTCTGCTACTTTTTGAGCTGCTATGGCATCTGTGCTGAAACATCTGAGCTCCTGGAAAACTGTCATGTGGTTGTGTTTGTGTGGGCAAGAATGCTATTTTGAAGTGCAGGATTCTTTATAAAGGCTAATAGTCTGCTCAGTGACTATCCACATGCACTCATCTTTTAGGCAGAAGTGTGGGGTTTTGCTCCAGAATCAGCATTAGAGTAGCTCTGTTAAAGTTACAGTGACTTAATTCATGTTGCTGCAGAGGCAGGCACACAATTAAAGGGTAACAGCTTGTGATTCTTCGCAGCAGCTCTCCCCTCCCCTTTTAAAGTGGTTAGAAGTGACAGTTGTCCATGAGTTTGTTCCTGTGTAGTTTGTAAGAGACATTAAATTCTAAGAGTAAGCCTTGTGGAGGGAAGGGAGACAGTCCCTTCTGGGTCACGTGGTCCTGGTCCTTTCAACTGAAAGGCCTTACTACAGTGACTCCCCCTATCACAAACAACTGCGCCTGGATGAGTGTTGACTGCACGTATGAGTCGTGAGCTGCAGGTAAGGCACAGAACAGTTCTCATTTTTTATTTTAAAGATATTAAGGGCATGAAGCTCTTCCTAACACAATTCTAAATCCCTGTCACTACAAGTTGGTTAGTAGAGGATTCAAATGGTTTAGTTAACTTCCCAGGACATGTACCATGCCTCCTCCTAGGTTTGGAAAGTATCCGACAAACAGAGGGAGCTACCAGAAGTAAACTATTTCAGTTCTGTTTCTTTGTTATTTCCAAGTACTAAAAGTCCAGACTTTTTCCAGTCCTTACTCAAATCGCACTTCAGAGGAGATGGTCTCATTTTGGTGAGTGAATTTCAGAACTGCCAGCAATTTGGAGTTAGTTTACAACCCCTTAAAATGTTTCCTTTCAGCTGTCTCTCGTGATTCCCTGACCAGGAGCCATTGAGCAGTCTCCTGTACAAAACAAAAGTGGGCTGCGACCTCTAGAAATGAAAGTCATATTCCTCCACCCCACTCCCCCTTTCCCCAAGAAATACAGCCAGGTCATTATGGCAGCTTGCTGTTATGTGGGAAGGCTTACTCCATGGGACATGTATGCATTGCTAATTAATGGCAAGAGTGGCAGCCATTTTGATCACCACAGGAAGAGTTCTTCAGCCAAAGCCCTTTAGCAAAAGACAGCTACGGCTTTTGAATGTTGCTCTATGATCTGAGCCATGTGGAGCACTGCTTTTGTGGGAGGGGTTGCCGAGGGAAAATGTGAGAAGCTCAACATGACTTTAATGGGCACTTTAAAAATTAGGTTTGAGGCCTTGAAGTGATCCAGAGCCTGATTGCCTGGCAGCATAGAGCATGGGGCCCTGCAGTAGTAAGCTCTCATTGGCTTGCCTTCCTGGGAAAGCAAGCTGCTGCCTGTCTGGGTACTGCTGACCCCGCAGTAGCTCCAACGTTGATTATGCTGGAGCGCGCTTCTAGGGTGCAAGCGACAAAATCAGATTGCTGTTTCACAGTAACGGGACTCCATCTTTGGGACTTCTGAAACAGGCGGTTCTGGCTACAGCTACTCTTCGGATGTGCAGGGGGAGTGAGGAGGACTGCGCTTAGTGTGTGCATGGTGTTAATACACAGGACAGCTGATCACAAAATGACAAGCTCACAGCTGCCACCAGATCATTTATGCTTCCTCTCTTCCAGTCAGTGTCACCTCCTGCTCAGCCTGTGCTTGCCTCACCTGCCTTCAGATCTAGCTGCTTGGTTTACCCCAGATGCTGGAACACCTCTGTAATGGTGCTGCTTATCAACTTGATTACAGATGCAGACCTTCGTCTAGCATCTTAGGATCTTCCCTAATGACCAGAAAGAGATGTTAGTAAGGCCCTGAAGGACTCCATATGAAAGGAGAAGAGAAGCTGTCCCTCATGGCATCTCACAGTTGTCACTACTGTTGCTGTTGTGACTGCAGTGCAAGGTAGAAGTACCAAAGCCATCTTTTACCTAATAAGTTTGCACACTGAGAACATTCTTGCCATAGGAGCAGAGAGGTCAACACATGCTGCAGTAACTGCCCCAAATGCAGAGTATGTAGCCCACAGGTGGCCAACCTGTGGTACAGGTGTCACAGGTAGCCTCTGTGTGTGGCATGCAGCAGATAAGGGAGGGGACAGGCAGCACAGCAACAGAAAGGGCAAGAAGCAGAAAGCAAAGCAGTAAAACTTGCAGGGAATACGGTATAGGAAGCAGAAAGTAGAGCAGTACATCAGGTAGGGTGCCCAGAGCGGGCTCAGCAGATTGGGCAGGAGATGGGGATCTGGTGGCACTTGGGGCAGCTACAAGGGTAGTTTGTGGCACACATGCCAAAAAGTTGTCCCCCCCTTGTGTTAGCCCATGTTGCTTTCTGTGTGGGCACAAGTAGACTGGTCTCCAAGCTGTCTGGTTTAAACTAGCTTGGTTATCTCCAAACTCCACTGTTGTGACAACAGCACAGACATATCAGAAGAAGCAACTCTCTGAATCTCCAAATGCCTTATGCTGCTTTTGGCATGATGCTTTTTGAAGGTGCAGATGTCAGTGGAAGACTGGCAGATTTCACTGGAAGACTAGAATGACTGTTGGCAGCTCCAATCATGGTGTTACACAGTGTGAAAGTGTGTCTGGTCTAAAATGCAAAAGATGACATTTTTCTCCATTTTGCCATGTTAAATGAAGATACTCTGATCTTTCCCGGAGGGGGTAGGACAGGAGGGCCATAGCAGGTTCTGGGGTCTTGCTTCTTTATGTTGGTGTTGTCGGCAGCATTGAAACTTGATGGAAAATGCCTGTTTAGCAGGGCTGTTCACTATTCTCTTCGGTGTGGGAATTGGAATTGTTAGTCTCATGACTTACGCTGCTGCCAAAATCTCAGTTAATTCCCTTGTCTGTGTTGCCCATAAATATCCTCCCGAGCTGGAACGCCACCCACAACCCCATCTTGATTATGTCAGTGGAACTGGCAACATCCTGACATGGATTTTTCACTTTGGTTTCAGGTCAGTGCCATGTTATACAGACCTTCTGGATGATCCTAATCCAGTTTTCTTTGTTTCTCATTTTTGTTTCTTTTTATATGACAAGCTTTGCTGCCTCTCCTCCTAAGACTGTGCGTCTCTTAGCTTTACGGTATTTGACACCTGACTGGATCCCCATCCTCTATCTGTGATTGTGTGCCTGCCTAAATACCTAAACTACAGACTGTCCCCTTTTTTTCTGAGAAACTGTCCTGAAAGTCTTGCATCCTAAAGTGTATGTTGCATATTAGCTGAAGTTGAAATTAACTGGGACTGTGTGTGTGCACACATGCACGGACTTATATATAAAAACAGCACAGTAAGGTATATCATGGGAGAGAGATCTCTAACGCATTTTTCCTGAATTCTGCCCAGGAAGCTAACTCTCCACTAAGGTTACTATTAATGCTGTAAATGTGAAAGCAGATTTTTTTCTCTTGAATCCCAATGTGTAAAATAGTACATAGCTGGTCACTCTGATTTGGAGGGGAAAATGACACCAATCACAGCTGAAAATAGTTTAAAATTTAAAATAGTTCTTTACATGTAGAAGACCACTAAGTGTGCAATGTGACCATCCTGTATGCATACAGATATATAACATCAGATAGTCTTTGTTGCTTTTATTTTTTTCTTTCAGCAGGATTGGTGTTGAACAAACTGCAGTGCTCAGGCAGTATTTCAGTTCTGATAATTACTCTCTGCCAACTCGTAGTTTCCTCTGAATTTGCTGTCTTCATTGCTAGTTCTCGGTTGGTGTAGTGTTACTGGGGCAGACTGAAGGGGGATGGTTGTGTCCAGGGATGGTTGCATTTTGACACCAGTTAAAATGATGCTTGTAGATAGGCTGTAAATGGCTTTGGGGGCTGTTGAGATGAAGGGTCCTACAGCAGGGGTAGGCAACCCTGGGCATGGGTGCCAGCATGGCATGCAAAAAGGCACTTTGCTTGACTTGTGCATCTTGGAGTGGATGGTGGGTAAGGGGCTGGGGCTGCACTGCCACAAGGATTGGGCCCCTGGTGGCTCCCCTGCCATCCACCCTTGGCACGCCAGCAGCTTACAAGTCAAGGTTGTGGGTGTTTTTGCCACTGCCCCAAAACATTGCCAACCTGTCCTACAGTATATAAATGTATCAGGAAGCTGTTACTGTTACTAACATGAAGGGGGTATTTAACATGCTGAGTGACCTAGAATTTTTGTAACAAAATTTTAAGGAAGATGTATATCTACTGAAAAGGAGCCCACGTGATGTGTATTGGTTTTGACTAACCTCTTACTATGTAAGTCAGTACAACATAATATTTGACTTTGCCAGTTCAACTTTTTATTCATTTTTTATAAAATTCTCATAAGCTTGTGTAGCAGATCAACTGGTTAAACAAAGAATAGACTTCTTTGTCTTGGGAATTTGCCATCAAAGTCCAATGAGCAGGACTGTAGGATGGCTCCGAGTCACTGAACAGGCATGTTGTCCAGAGTTTTTGGACAGCAGATTGGCATATGGCAGGTTTGGAGAACTTCCCAGTGTAAAGAGCAGCATGAGCAAAAAAAATCATGAGTGGCAGAAAATTAGATGCAGTTGTAAAGATCCAGTATTATGCTGTTCTCACAATTTTGCTGCTACTAGTTACCATGACTTAAACCCACTGAATGGAAAGGATGGGACTGTTTGTAGGTTTAGTCCCTGAGGCCATGCTGCTGTGCCTAACACTGCTACATAGTCGCATGTTCAGCTGGGAGCATCTTCTTTCCTGTCCTGTATTTAGCTGCAAGAATAAGGGTGCTCAGGACAGGCCACCTCCTTTTTGATTCAGTGCATGTGCAGCTGATTTTCCTGGAAGTGATGTTTTATGGCCTCAGCAATACTGTTGCTGGCCACAGATAACACTGGTTGAATTTAGAGAGGGCTCTAATGATGATTGAAATTGGCTAATTGATGTGGTGGGGTGACCAGCATTGTGCAGTTGCTTTTAACTACTCTTCACTGGATACAGCATGTGGAAGATTAGGGTTCTGCTTTGAATTAGCAGTCTCTGCAAGTGAGCTGAGCAGAAAGCACAGCTGCAGGCACACCACCCCTCAGCCATGTCTCTTAACAGCAGTGTCTCCAGTACAGGTGTAAATAACAATGCCAGTGATGTCAACATCAGTTCAAGAGTCTTCTGAACTCTTTAATTTGGGCTAATGTTCATGGATCCACCAGGACCCCAAAGCCTGCCCTGATCTCAGGTGTGTTTTGCGCTCTGGGACTTTTCGAATAGTTCTGCAAGGTATTAGAGCCATTGCCGCACTCAGTACTGAGAGCATGAAGAACAGCAGAGCGGCGGTGGTGCTGATGATGTTCAGGAGTCCAGGGTGCAAGCTGGTGAAGCACGTAGTCCCTGAGCCCAACTGACACCTGATGGAAAGACTGGAGCCGGGGCAACTTCTGTTGCACCCCCTCTTAGTCTAGAATTGGGCTGAATGACTAGACATTTTTAGTCAAATTGTGGCAAGATTTCAGGGAGGACAGGCACCAAAGTCCTAGCTTCTCTTAGGACTTGAATTACAGAGCATGTGTCCAGGTGTCAGTGCAATGATTCCCTGGAAGTGTGTGACCTTACAGAATGTGACCTGCTTGCTGGCTGGCTGGCTGTAAAAGTTGTGTGCGCTTTTTTTTTTTTTTTTTTTTTGCAGACCCTGAAGCGCCAGAGCCAATTGGCACTTTATTTCTTTAATACCATCCTAGCTCACGGAGATCTACGGAACAACAAACTAAACCAGCTCTCTGTCAACCTCTGGAACCTTGCTCAGAAGCATGGCTTTGCTGACACCAAGACCATGGTAAGGACAGCAAGGAGTGTGCTTTCTTCAGGGAACAAGGGTTCTCTTGGTAATGTTTTATTGGACCAACTGTATTACTGGGGAAACATCTGATAAGCTTTCAAGCACAAAGTGCCTTCCTCAGGCCTTTGTTGTTTTAGGTATCTTTTACTTATAATTGTGAAGAAGATAAACTGATTAATTTCCTTCCTTAAAATGAAAACATTGTCATTTATATGGAGCATATTGATTTCTTTAAAGAACTGTTTGTTTGGAAGATGCCTTAAGAATGAGTCCTAGGTAACACAAACTCTTTTATATTTAGGCTGCCTGAGCACTTTCCTTGCGTTTAAAAAATATTTCACCCTTCCATTCAGTCTAAGAGAACTGAAATTCTGGATGCAAGGAGAATAGTTTTCAGTACCTGAAATGCTTTCATATGTCCATACAGAAATTCATTTTCAAGAAAAGCATATGTAAGAACTTGTGCTTCTCCTCTCTTCTAGGTTAAAACACTAGAATACATCAAGAAGCGAAGCAAACAACCTGAGATGAGTCATTTTGCCGAGCTGGCATTAAGACTCCCACTGCAGTCCAGGACCTGATGAATGTTACCCTTCCCAGGGAGTCATCTGTACAGAGGGGCACAAAGCCAAGTCCATAAAATGTGGTTTATGCTGGGTTTTCATTGGAGTTTTAATGTATTTTTATTTTTAAGTTTCACTTAGAATGTAACATTTATTGGGACAAAGGTAAAAAGTAAAACTCCTGACAAGCTACAATAATTTGAACTCCGTTTGTTTCCAGATGTGCCATTAAACTCTGATTTAAATGCTAACATAGACCCAGTAAAGTGCATATTTAAAATTTATGATGGTATATAACTTTCCGGCCCCTAATCTGACCTGACTCTAACAAGAGAGGAAGGAAATCCACATATATAAATTCAGAAGCCCCCAACTGCTTTCCATTTGCAAGGCAGTCTGTTCTCCTATGTGGAAAGTAATGTTTTCATATAACAGTCTACTTAAAGAAATCAGCAGTAGTTCTAGTTGAGATGTATAGTTCTCAGATGCCTTATTTGGGATTGTTTCCAGCATTTATATGTCCATTTCCAGTAAAATTTGGACATGGCTGAGATACTACTCTTCTGGATGTGAAAAAATCTTCTTGTAATACATGGTTACAGACATGTTTATAGCTTCATTTTAATCTAAAACTGTTCTGTAATCTTCTTCCGTTTTATCCAGCAATCAATAAGTCTTCAGAGGAAAATATAAAAGTATTCAGAGAAATTCTGTGTATTCAGTCAAAATGAACTATATAATTGAATAAAACTGTTAATGTGCAGTTTAGTTCATCTGTTTGTTCTTTTTCACTAATGCAGTCATCATGTGACTGACATCCTGTGATTATTTGTTACCTTTGCTTTTATGCTGCCTAAAAATCCTCCTCTACTGTTTCTCATCTTTGGCAAGGAGCCACGATATGAGGTTGCAAACTGCTGTTTGTGCTTTAGTTTTGGTTGTGAGTTCAGGTAATTTACTGAGGTAATTTCCAAGAAATGACTAGGAATGAGTTAAATAATCGAAGCAAATTTTACATAAAAATGTTGCCTTCTGCAGAGGTTGGAAAATTATATGAAGGGGTGACTAGTTCACAGGAGTGAAATTTTGTAACAACTGCTCCATGAGTGAGGGAATGGGTAATGTTTAATGGAGGTTGGTTGGTTTGTTGGTCTGCTATTTTAATTTGACTTTTCACATACTCTCCTTTATGATCCAAGTGACACCTTTGATTAAAACAAGGGGTTCAAAGCCCCAAGACATGCCTTAGCTGGAGAGTGCAGGAGCTGGTCCAGGCAATGACTGCAGGTAGTACTAGATCTGCAGTGTTTTTTCCTACTTGCTTTGCAGAGGTTCAGTATTTTCAATAGTACCACTTAGGTGAGTTAAAAGTGGATGAAGCCTCCCTGATACTGAAGAAAAAAGGAAGTCGACTGATGTAGTGATTGGCCTGAGGTGGTGAATGACTGCTACAGTTGCCAGGCAACCACTGGATTCTGTGCAACATAATTTGACTGTGTAATGATTATATCAAGGGGTCCAGTTGTCGATGGACACACTGCCTATGCTGTAATACTGAGCTCACACTGAAGGGTTATAGAAGACTAAATGAGTAATTGGATGCTTAATTTTTAAAATGAAGTTTGGAAATTAGGTTTTTCAAAACCAATTGTGTAGGGTATGTAACTGTTACAAGAGTTTCTGATAGCTGCACCACATGGAACGATCCATGCGCTGCTTGTTCCAAGACCAGATACTGGAAACAGTCTGGCAGAAGCATAAATCCATATGGGCACCAGTGGCTCCAACTCGGGGGTGGGAAATTATTTTGGCTGGAGGGCCACTTAATGAGTTTCTGAGAGCTGTTGTGAGTTACACACATAAAATCTTTCAGATGTTATTTTAACAAATTACAGATAAAAAAATCATATATCAAAAATCAAACATCTACTATAACACACTGTCATTTTATTTAAAAAAAGAGACCTGGTTTAGGTTTTTTTAAGTAATGTATATAGAGATGATCGCATAGTAGCTCATCTTGGGGGGAGGTGTGTGTGTGTGGAGGGTAGGGGGATGGGTGTACATGTGTGAGGGTTTGCCTGCCCACTAGGTCCCTGGAGCTGGTTGAGAGTGGAGGGAAGGGAGGTGCATGCAACAGAACGTGCCTGCGCAGTGTGGTGCAGGTGCAGGTTGCCACCCCCTAGTCTGGCCCATGCCTGCCCCCATGGCACTCTGCATGGGGCCAAGCCCCACCTGCTCCTACCTGGGGCAGCCCATGCCATATTCCCACCTCCACCCACCCTGGCTCCCATGTACAGCTTCTGGCAGAGATGACAAAAAGCAGCAGAATGTGGCTACTTCTCATGTATAACTTCTATCTGCCTGGGCATGTTTTACCCAAAGAGCAATTCCTCTGGAATCCAATAAATTCACACTAGGTACATATCTGCTCTACACATTTAGTATTGTACTGTCATTACTGGGCTTGCTGTTTCCTTGTACAGTACAGTGGTGATCTTTCTCTTGTAAGATTGCAGTGTAGAAAGTCTACAAGGATGCTTGTCCCATTGGTTGCCTGGCTGATGCAGGTTGCTGATACAAGGATGGTGCAAAACAGCAGGATTGTATAGCTGGTACAGAGAAAGAGACACTGCACAGCCCTGCACCCTAGTGAGCTCAGGCTTGCACAGCCTGACATGTAGAGGTTGTCATCCTCTGTTTGTTCTTAACTTCCAGCTTCCAGTTAAATCTTCCAAAGCACTGCAGCCACTTCCAGAGTCGCTGTCAGCCTGCAAATGATTTATGGCAGGTCCCCAAACCTATCAACCACCTTCCTTGTTCTGAGTCCTTACTTTCTTTCACGCCTGTTAGTAAAGCAGAACTCATGTAGAAGATGTAATTAATGACCAGGCATTGGCTTAAAGGGACTGAACTAGGTCTAGTTTAGAAAGTGGTGGTGCCATCCCTTGTCACAACTAATGTAACACTTGGTGCATTGCTGCTTCACCATGCATTGTCTTTTATAGAGAAGGTGCATACATTGTCAATAATGGCACCAGCCTGCCTGTTTGTCTAAGCTCACTTTAATGTGCAGATTACACAATATTTTGTCTCGAGATCTGAACCAGGTTTACCCCAGTCTCTGAGCTCCAGCAGCCAAGTTGGAGCAGCTGTGGGTGAAGTAGAAACCCCTCGAGAGGGGCAGACAGATCCGCAATGGGAAGTTCAGCGTCGGCCCCACAAATCCCCCTGCTTTGTGAATGGAGTTTAACAGGCTCCCTTACTAGCTGTGTAATTGTCACAGGCAAAATTTCTCTGATAACTAGGTACCTCTGAGCTAGTCTGGAAACAGACAGGCATCAGTCTCATTTAAAATAAGCCAACAGGTGCTTTCAAAGTAAAAATGAAGCTTAGGTACAAAGAATAAAAATGTTCACTATAAAGATTTCATAGACATTAGGGCTGGAAGGGACCTTGGAAGATCATCAAGTCCAGCCCCCCGTCCGAAGGGCAGGAAGTCAGCTGGGGTCATAGGATCCCAGCAAGATAAGCATCCAATTTGCTCCTGAAGGTGTTCAATGTAGGTGCTTGAACCACCTCGGATGGCAGGCTGTTCCAGACCTTGGGGGCTTGGACAGTAAAGAAATTCTTCCTTATGTCCAGCCTGAAACGGTCTTGCAGTAGTTTATGATCATTCGACCTCGTCATCCCGTGGAGCGCTCTGGTGAACAAACGTTCCCCCAGATCTTGGTGGTCACCCCTGATAAACTTATAGGTGGCCATCAGATCACCCCTGTATATATAAATATATACAGATCTGTGAAAACATTATAGGACTTTACTCAGGCAAAGAAACAATGGAGGAATGTGGTGCTGCTGGTCACTACCTGGTTTTACAACGTGTGGTTACAAAATAATTGAGGTGAGACTCCATCTACCATGAGTGCAGGGGCCAGCCTGAATAAAAGTAGAAAGGTCAGTGTGGGCGTTTGCCCTGAAAAATGACTAAAGCTACTTGTCTCTGCTGTTCCTTCTGCTGGATGAATTTGGTACCTGACCACTGCTTTGCAGAACCAATTTAGCTAAGAGAGAGTAAACTGGGCTCCTTACTGACATGCATCGCAACAGCATTATGTTCCAACTGCAAGGCAATGTGTGAACCTGCCTTTACGTGACACTCTTGGTTTTAAACCCATACAATCCCAGTGAAAGTAAGGTAGCACTTAAAGATACAGACGTAAGTACATTATAGTCCGCAATGTCTTCATTGGAAGGAGGGTGCACTGCATGAGTTCAGGTTTCAGCCTTAGCTTATCACTATTTCTGTGGCTCATTTTGCACCTATGCATATACAGCCCCTCTTGTTCTGACGACATCAACAGCCAGGATCCCCCTACTTGCTTCTTAGTGTGATCCATGCCTTCCTTGAACACGTGCAGGTTTTACCCTTTTAGCAAGGAGATGAAAGCAGTTTGATGGTAGCCTGTGGGCCTGTGCGAAGCAGCTAATAGTCACTTCACATTCGGCTGATTTGGGGGACAGTGATTAAATTCAGTGACTTTAATCACCGTCCTGATTCCATTCAGCCAAATCTCTGAATCAGCCAGGCCCACCCCCCATCCACTCTCCCAGCTCTCTGAAAAAAAGCCGTGACTCACTGGGTGCTGCAGGGTGGGGGGATGATCTCTGTTGCCCCATGCTGCGTAGGGGACTCTGCACGAGCCCCCTGACCCCCCCTGCTATCCCAGCACCCCCCATGGCTGCCCCACCCACTGCAGTTCCAGCCCTTTTTTTTGTTAGAGAGAAAAACCCCTGGACTCCACGTTCCTGCCGGCAGGGGCGATCCCCACTGTCCTGCACTGCATGGGGGGGCTCTGCGGGAGTTGTCTGAGGCTGCTGCAGGAGCAGTGAGTCCCAGGGCTTTTCTCATTCTTTTTTCTTAAAGGGCTGGGGCAGCCATGGGGGACACTGGGGGAGCAGAGAGGGGTTGGGGGGCTCATGACAGAGCCCCCCATGCAGCATAGGGCAGCAGGGATCGCACCCCCCCCCAGCAGCACCCAGTGAGTAGGGGCTTTTTTTAAATCACGGGGAGCTGGGGCAGGCAGGGCAGCCATGGTGCGCGGAATGGGGGAGCGGGCAGGGGATGGGGGCTGGCAGGCACCCCCCAATAACCCCTTCCCCCCCCACTTACCAGCTTGGAGTCCGGCTGCAGTTCCCTGCTGCAGCCACCAGGGACTTTCCGAATCATCAAAGCTCTCCGAATCTTCAGAAAAGATTTGGACAGCTTCAAATCGATTTGGGCCTTTTAACTGGTCCCCTGATTTGATTCCGATTCGGAGATTTGGCCACCAAATCGGGCTGAATCTCCTCTGAATCGAATCACTACCCAAAGCTTTGCACAGTCGTAGTAGCCTGCTCTGTGGTAAGAGGAAAAACAATGAGGATCAACAATGCCTCAGCACAGTTGAGACTATCCAAACATGCTAGTAAGGGGAGAAAATAACTAGTCTCTTCTTGCAAAGTGAGCTACTCTATGGTGAAAGTCACTGGCGTAACAACTGCTTACTCTGCCATGCATTTCAGAACCAGAGCGGTACTAAAAGTGAAAGCTCTTACTTTTCTTCTGCATGCTCATAACTACCAGCCACTTAACACTTAGAGCTTCTCAAATATCAAATCCTTCTTGTTTGGATCTGTGCATTTGCTCTATTCATGCATATTTATAAATGCATTTCATGTTGGGTTGTAACTCTACAGCTAGGAGATAATTCAGAGGTTAATAAATAGCAATTTTATTCCAGTTGTTCTGTGATTTTAACTTGCACAAGTTTTGTATGGCTATGAAAAATTACTTTGCTTCCTACAAGACTGTCCCACAGTTTGACAAATCTGGGGTCACATCTTGTTTACAACAGTTTAACTGGATTTTGACCAGAAGCAGGAATTAGCCCTTAAAGCAAAGCATCAGAACATAGATTTAAAACAAGTAGAACAGTCAACAACGCTTGTTAGCTACAGGGGTAACACTAAACATTTAAGAAAGATAACGGTAACTTTGTTTAAAAAGAAGTAGCCCTCTGATCAGGCCTCTTTCAGAGGTACAGCTGCAGAAAAGTGAGGATTTTACTTAACCTCTGAGCCCCTGTGAGTCACTAAAATCTGTTTAAAAAAGAATTTACAATAGTCTTCATTCTGAAAAGTAAACAAATACTTACAAACTTTAACCTGTCCCCAGCTATGGCTGAAGCCTCAAACCTTTGCTGAAGGAGTCATGCTAGAAGACTTCTGGGCTGTGTTTGGGCAGGTTCCTATCCCAGTGTGCACTGAGGCTTCAAGTCACTGCCTCACTTGAGGTTGTGACAAAAGTTGCAAATTTTGTGTTGAACGTAAGTTTGAAATGCTCCGTAGCTTATTCCAAATAAACAGCTGTGGCAAGTAACAATCGAGTTTCCATGCTGCATTTTCATCCCTTCCATCATACTGCACAGTTCAGTCCTCAAATTTGATGGATCTAGAAGCACACTTGTCTATGTGTATTTTTTTGCCGACAGGTTGGAATCCCAGGCCAACTCTTCTGTGGTGCTTCAAGTTCACGGCTCTCTCAAACTCCACATGCAGAGCCTGCTTTAATTTTTCTTCCCCTTCCCTGCTCAAAGCCATGTTTGGCTTCTCTGTGATGGCTGGTGGATCTTGGACTGATGTAGAGCCCTTCTTAAAACCACCCATGAGTCTGAGGAACTTTGCTTTTTCATCTGAAGTTTCAAAAGCAGCTGTGCTCCACTGGCCGAACTTGGTGTCCTGCAAAAGAGAACAAGATTATTAATGAGGTTTTCCTTCAGTAGATCAATAAAACTGAATAACACCAATGCAAACTGTTGCAATCAATGGATGTTCCAAGAAAATGCAGTATGCCAGGGTATGGCTGCTGCTGCCATTCCACCTTCTTGCAGACCATAGGGCTTTGACTTCTGCGCTAACATTCACCCACGCTAACTGCAAATGTAAGGTCCTATGCGACAATGTGCTCAATCGCACACAGCACTTTGCATGCTGTAGCCTGTAATGAAATAAAAGAAAAGGTACAGCTACTAATTAGCAAGGCAGGGAGTTAACACTTGGGATTGTTCACTGAATACTTCCTGCTGCTTTTCCAGTCCAGTCTGTCATAGATTACTACCATGTTTTGTACACTTATACCCATTGCCTGCAGTAGAGAAATTCTGCAGGGCAAGGAAAAAAGCTTCTACAGTTTAATATCACTTTGGATTTGCTTAGTATTAAAGCCTCAACCCTTCTAAAGCGTGTGCAGAAATATTGCAGCACTGTCCACTGGTTTGCAGTACAGATAAGCCACTTAAGGACAATTACAGAATTCCCTTCAACTACATAATGTTTACAGTCTGTCTTGTGGACTAAGGCCCCAGGCAAACCTCCAGAGATAAGCTAGGGTATGTTCAATAACTACCGTCTTTCTGAAGCCAATAGAGAGAACTGCCATGTCAAATGGAACAAAATGTGCTTAATTTTAAGACCATAATGAAAAAAAATGGGGGAGGAGTAGGGAGTAATCCCACAAGAACTCTGTAGAGCTGAGCTGTAGTTATTGCATCACCTGTATTTCCTGTCTTTGTCTTCAGTGTTTCTTTTTTCCTCTCCCTTCAGGCATTCAGCTTCTCTACCATCTGGACACCTCTCCATTCAAAGACGAGGGCCTTTACAGGCCACTCTTCAATTTTACTAACTAGTTTGCCACTTGTCTTTTCAAGAGCAGATTTCAGACTTGTCACCTTCTGATGAATACTTTTCATTTCCCTATGTAGAGTTAGGGAAATGAAAATGAACTTTTTCTAATGAAGTTAGCTTTGCTAAGAACAGTGGACATTTCTAGATGTGCTCAGGTGGGGGCGGGGACACTGATACATCTGACACTGGAGTCTGCTGGAGCGCAGTAATTAACACACTCCTGCAGACTCAATTAATCGTCTGCTTCGATGCACTGTAATTACTACATAATTGCAGTGCATTGGAGCAGCCTCACTGTACATGTATAGGCACCCAATCACATGATTTCTTCCCCAGTTTGTTACTGATTATCCGCTGCTCACAACAGAGATGCATCGTTCACTCATACGCCCAGCACCAATGTAGATAGTTAGTTCTCATTATTTAGCTCTGGATTTTGCTGCTAATGAAGGCAGGAGCTCCCAGCAGTTCCAGTGTTACACAGTAGAGCATCTCATCTAAGGTCCTCTCTTTATTTAGCTAAACTGTACATCTGCTCCTCCCAGATTCAGTTTTACTATGTGCTAAATGCCAAACTATTTGGGAGCTAAATTTAGGCCAAGCTGCCTAAGGGCAAAAGCAAAATTTCTACTTTTGTATTTACGGACACAAGGTTACATCGGAAGCAATTTTCCTTCTTCCCACCTCTGGTTTATTTAAGATCACTGCGTTATCAGTTAAGTCTCTTTACCCAGGTCTTGAGGCTGACCTGGGGGCCACAATGTAATTGCCAGCTCTTTTATTTTTGACATGACTGACACTGCAATATCACTCTTTGAAATTGGATGCTGCCTGGCTAAATGGAACTGTGCTGGTTAATTGACGCCTAATTAAGAAACTGAGAGCTGGATAAACTTTAGAATTCCACCCATGAATTCAAATTCAATTCATGTGAAAGCTTGCAAGCCATCCAACTCAACCCTTGGGTTCATACCAAAACCTTTAGCCTCACTGAGACAGCCAAGAAGCTACACAGCAATACTATACAAGAATTTCAGCATTGCCAACAAGCTACAAGGGCTTGTTATAAATTAAACACATAATGGCCATTCAGCAGACTGAAATACTGCTTTTAAAAGCAGGATTTCCGTAGTATGCAGTTTTTATCCTGTTCAAAGTGAAGCATCATTTCAATTTATATTTCAGCTTTTGTAGAAATACTAGTAAAGTTGTCACACAGCTGGTTCAAGCCAATGTCTGTGACACACAGGCATGCTTGCTCTCTCACTCTGGGATGGAGGATTCACATCAGCACAGATGCAGAAATAATTACAGCTTTTCAAACCCTATAATTTTTTAAGGTAACTACTGGCAATTACTACACATGGCTTTTACTGCAGCATTTCCAGCTTAGTCTTTGTGAAGCTTACTAATTAGTCTTCATAGCTCCTATTCTTCAATGTGCTAATAACCACTGATAGATCAGCATCAAAGGACTGGGATTCCCTGACAACAATGTCATTTTCTGAATGACTTCAGAGTCAATTAGGCTGTTACAGTTTTAAAGCATAACTTTAAAAATAAAAGCAGGGACTTCATTTCCCGGTCCTCCCCCTAAAGCTATGCAAAAATTTGCATGAGTGTTTTCTAGGGTTTCTACCATTTGTTTGATGTGAATTCATACTTCCCTGGAATAGTGGCAGCCTACTCTTGCAGTCCAGACAGCTGAGATAATCCTGGCTATTAATAAGGCCCCCTCCCCCTTTTGCATCCTATTAGCCTCAGTAAAGACGAGATACTGCAGCAGCTGACACACGTTACATGCTAAATCTTCCTGGAGTCAGGGAGCAGGAAATGAAAAGGCAAGGAAGTGAGAAGTGCCTGGGAAATGTGAACAGTTAAAAGATGACTGACTGGGTGGAGGAGAGATCCATTTTCTGTCTTCTCACTCACCTGACCAAGCTTGAGCTGCATATCTAGTTGGAATTATTCATCTGAGACTTTCTTCCCCAAATACATTGGTCAAATTCTCCGTTCCCTCGGTTAAATGTACAGAGGCTTCTGTACTTTGACAGACACAGCCAGCATCTATTCACGAATGACCAAATGCCTGCCAAGCTAACATGGAGACTTTAAAACACACTGGATGGGCTGAATGCTGTGCTCAGTAGTTTGGGACTACCACCTTGCTCTATGCTTTCACTGCTGAAAAACCAGGTGCAAGTGGTTATTCCTTTTGACAGATGTCAGGGTTCAGCAATTCGCTCATTTTCCACAGCTCATGGTATGCAATTTAAAAGCACCGTACAATTAGGTCAGATGTGTCTGTACTGGTGTCCCACTGAAATCGCTGGAGTTATATCGGATTAACTTTAGTATGTTAAAGCCATCAAGAATTACAGCATCACACTTTCAGAGTTTTCCTGAAGTTTCAAAAGGTTAGATTTTTTTCCAAATACAAGGGACATGCTGTTGTACTAATTCTAGTTCCAATGACAGCTCTATTCATGGACTAGTGTTATTTATATTCCACAATAAATAGAAAATGATTTAGCAGCAAATTTATCTTGGCTAATTCTCCAGAGAGAAGGAAAAATGCTACTTTTCAGGACTAATGATGGGACTTAGAGGTCCGTACAATCCCCACTGCTGCTAGAGTTCACTGGTCTGCTCCCAGCCTCTCTCGAGATGGGACTAATTTGTTCTGTAGCATGACCTCAAATTTGCAATCAGAAGAGAAGCTGGTGTGCCAGGCAGTGCACATGACTAGCATACAGATGGGGGGTTACTCTGGGCCATGTTATCTCATAAGAACAAGCTCTAAGTTCATACGTACAGATTTCACTTTGCTTCTGAAACCCATAGTTTTGCCAGATTCTCGGTCGATCTCTTCTTGCAGGGCTTGCCGTCTCAACTAAAAGATGGAAAAATATTGCAGTTATTTACTGTCTATAAAGAAAGTGTATTTTTGTGTGAACGTTTTACTGACTAAATTCACAATATAAAGATGAAGGGTAAAGAAGGCAATCAGAAAACCAATCTGTATTGTTAGGTGCAGCATAAATGCGTTTTCCTTTTGCCCATAGTTTCAGAAAGTAAATCCACATTAGTTTCAGATATTACCATTTTTTACAAGTAAGCATCACACAAAGCAAATATTTTGCAGTTATCAATCAATATTAATCCTTCTGACTGCAGGTAACAGCTGGGCTGACAGGGGCCAGACTACCAAACATTCAATCTTGATATGCTACTTCAAACCCTTTTTACCTGTCACTTGAGATTTATGTGCTGGCCTTGGCCTGCAGAAGGTACGGTGTTTTCCATGTGCTAAGTAATTTTCTATTTTGTGTAGCACTGGCAGAGACTGCCATTTAATTTTTTTTTATTATTGTTTCTTACTTGCATAGATTGTGTGTGATCATGCTCTTCATTAGATATAAAGATACCTCCCTGATAGGAAGATATTAGGCCTTACACAAAACTGCAGAATTTATATAACTGAGATAATACCTTGTCTATATTTATTTCATCACAGTTTCCTTTTCTTTCCCCCACAACTGCTACATCATTCTCAGATTCCTGTAAAACAAGAGGGGAAAAAACCCTATGTCAGTATGATTAAAGGTGTAATCTTGTTATAACAAAGATAATTTTAGTAGAAAAAATTTCCAAACCCAGGCCACTGGCAATTAGCCACACAGTGCCCTGTGCTATTTAGGACAACAGCCATTACTATGAAAAATGTCATTACACCAAAACCTTTTCCAGCTCCTGCCTATACAGGTTGAATCTTTTTACAGTGAAATATCAGTATGATAACATTAGCCAGGCATTTCCTTGAAGTTTATTGTAATGTTATACTGGACAAAGAAATATCTACAGGAATCCATAACAGTGACATTTCTATACGAGTCAGTTATGGAGCCCCTGTTAGGTGACCGCTGATTTATCAAACCCTTTTTCTTGCTTTATAGGCAAAATCTCTTCACAGTAAATTTTTAGGACAAAACAGAGCACCATCATAAAGGTGGCTGTGATGAGATTCCGCCTGGATCTATTCACGTTATGTGGAATTTACTTAGCACCAAAAATAAATGCGAGAGCAGGCTCAGATGAGACGGACTAAAACCCAGTAAAGTGTTAGGTAAGAAGAAACCATCAACTTCTAAACTGAAGATGACAGCTGATCCTGTGCAGCTTCTTGGAGAAGTTTTCTCCAGGGAAAGAGATCTGCTAACGCTTTGCATAACAGAAACACAACTTTAATAAAAGTCTCTGGACATCTGAAACCCTTTCTTCACAAGAGACTTATAAACCTCAGAGGAACATATTATAATCTCCTGTGCACATGCTGGTGATGCAGCGACACTTCAAATTACAGTTCTGTAATAATCAAAACTCGGCCACATTCTCCACTGTGTAAAGAAAAGGCTGAGCTGACTGGCATTGAATCTGTGACAAATGTCAAGACATGGAAAATACAGAGAAGCCAGCTCACAAAGGTCCCTCTGTTATCAGGTTTGTTGTTGTGCATAACGGTTAATCAAGAATAGGACCCTGTTGTGCCAGGTACTGCTCCCAGAGCAGTATATGAGCCCTGTCCCAAAGACATCATGGTCTAAATGGAAAGCACAAACACAGTGTGGGGAAGGGGGTACCAACATAAGCAAAGAGAACTGGGTGGAAGCAAACAGTATATTGTTTTCACATTCTTGTTTTGAGTGAGTTATGTTAGAAGGGTGTCACTACCAGGACGCTTTTTGCCAGAGCCCTCCAAGGACTGACACTGCAACTTGTCTGATGTGCCTCTAGGCTTTATTCCGAGTTTCCTCCCTGTACTATGACCTAACAAGTGGTTCCTTAGACATTACAGCAGCCACCTTTGGGGGTGCTGGCCTCCAATCCTCTGCTGGGTGTGTGGGACGTTCGTTTCTGGAAGCCCCGTTGTTCGAACAAGAATTCCAAGGTTGCTCCTCTCTCCCCAGGGTGGCAACACAAAACACACACTCTCTCTTTGTTTGTCCACTACTTGTATAATTTGTTAATCCCAAACTGTCGGCTCTGTGCCAAGCATCCCTTATTTGGTGCACCAATCCCCCGGCACTCTGTCAGCCACATTCCCTATAAGAAAACCAGAGCTCACCTACTGCCCAGTCACAGCACTCGCATCTCCCTGAGCCACAGGAGCGCTGTTCAATGCTGTTGCTTAGTTCCGGGAAGGCCTGGACTATGGCTAAAAAGCCTTACCATAACTCAATTTGCCAGCTACAGAAGCAATCATCCATATGGAGCAAAGGGAAGGAGTAAGAGCCAGAAGAGCGAAGCCAAAGAGAAAATGGCAGGAGTGGGGGTGGAAGGGTGAGGCTGGAGCGAACAGCCAGTTCTGTCTGTCCAGGGCAGACAACTCCAGGCTCAACGTACACAGGTCCGTACCTCTGCAACTACTCCAACTGGCTGCTCCTCCACAGCTTTCTGTCCAGAGCCTGCAGAAGCAGATGGGATGCAGCTAAGGAAGGGAGCCTCCCATGCACAATTCTGCATGCAAAAAGTTGGCCTGGATCACAGGTACCCTCCAAACCTTAGTCAGCAGTACTCTGCTTTAGTGGCTTCTGCACCTTCTGGTTCTTCTCTGCTGTTTCCCCCAGTCAATAACAAGGGCAGGATTAATGGACAGCCAGTGTAACTGGATACGTAATGAAGAGCCTGGGCTAGTGGAAAATTAACTGAGCCACAAGCTTTTGACAAGCCTGGAGAAGGTGGCCAGAGGAAAGATCTATTGAGAAAGCTACCACAATAATCCAAGCGTGAAATAAGCAAGGAATGCCAGGACAAGGAGATTTGCAGCATACTTACAGGAGCAAGGGCCGCTATTACTTATGGTTGTGGTTTGTTTTTAAGGCGAGCCACAGATAATTCATTTCCAAATCTCCCTTTCATGCACAGACACATAAGGACATCTACCCCACAAATGTGGAGGAGATGCTCTTCACTACAGGAAGAGCCCAGGCTCTTAAAAAAAGAGAATTTGCTTCTAGATGGCCTAGTACTGTCTCTTCAGATTTCTTTAAGACAAGAAAACAAGCAGGGATGACAGGAAAGGACCAAATTCTGCTAACAACTGCCAAGGATTTTATAGCTTGGAGGGCAGGTGGCAGGCAAGAAAGGAGGAAGGGTGTGCACTCATGCTAGGTAATTCCCAAGGAGCTGACCCCCTCCAGGTTACCAAACAGTTGGCAGAACCAGGCTGTCCTTTGGGCTGTGCTGAACCCATAGAAGGTGCATGCAACAACCCTTTGCAGGAACCAACCACCAGCAAATAAACAGCTTAGCAGCAAATGATAGGTGGGCTGGGGCATAGACTGCATTTGCTCTGTTTTGTCCAGTGTTACTAGTTATGATTGGACTACATAAGGGTAATGAAGTCTCATTAACAAAGGCACCAGAGACTTTCTGTTGTGAAACAGTGTTGTTTTAGTGAGAACGAACAAGATACTTAGAGTGGGGCTTACGCAGGTGGAAGCATGCACACAAAGAATGACCACCATTAAGAAGGAAGGCATTCAATGATCATTACCACTATTTTTTCCTATTGTAACCACTCTGTCCTGCTCCTACAGACACCACCAGCAAAGTTTGCTCAATTCAGCAGGAACAGGACTGGGCCCTTGGACACCACCGCAAGGTAACCACTATCATTTTGCTCTCTCTTCACACACATTTCAAATTGCCAGCCAAATCAATGCCCAAGCAGGCCTATGTCAGTATGCTAAAAGCTCAGTAGTCAGACCCTCAAAGGAAGGGAATACTAGGGACAGTTCAACTCACTGTTAGAAATGTGATTTCAGACGTTCTAATTCAGCCTTTATACGGGGACCACAAATTAGGCTAGGTATCAGGAGGCGCTACTTCACGGTCAGGGCGGCTAGGATCTGGAACCAACTTCCAAGAGAGGTGGTGCAGGCTCCTACCCTGGGGGTCTTTAAGAGGAGGTTGGATGACCACCTTGCCGGGGTCGTTTGACCCCAGTACTCTTTCCTGCCATGACAGGGGGTCGGACTCAATGATCTGCTCAGGTCCCTTCCGACCCTAGAAACTATGAAACTATGAAAGGAGCTGGAACCTCTCCATCATGTTGGGATCCCTACCTCCAAATGGGCGTTCATATGGCTGACACATAAAATACGCTGTCAGAGCTACATCAATAAGATTAGTTTCCACTTAAGCCAAATTCATTCAGGGATAATTATATTCAGGGGAAAAAATGCAAGTCTTAGCTACTAGCTGGAATCACTGCATATTGTCTAAAAAAATAAAACAAAAAAACCCCTTGGCCAGCATGCTTGCTCCACAAGCAGATCAGTGAATTTTCTGAGAGATGCAGCAGTGTGTGACATGCATTGGAGATGAGAAACTGGTCCAGAATTGTGATGCAGTGAAACAGGAGACCAGTACTATCAGCAGCATATTACAGCAGTGTTAGCAGGCCTAACAATAGCCAGATTTCTAAATCTTGAGAGGAATTTCATTGGGGAAGGTTTCGCTATTAATTTAAAGAGGGGTGGACACGAATAGAAAAGACAAAACACATATCTCTCTCCCTATCTCCTGCTGTGTTTTCCATCTAAATAGTTCAGCACCATCATGCAGTTGCATTTATCACTATAAAGCTTATCTTGCCTTTGTACGCATGTGAGCATGCAAACAACGTCTAACAGTCTCAACAGAGCAATATCAATTTAATTAGAAAGTGTATCCCAGCAATAAAACCATTTTGTCCTTCTAAAGGTCAAAAAGAAAAGTCTAACAAAGGCATTTACATCCCCATGTCTCCAGTTACCCAATGATAAAGTACTTATATACATACAACCATACACCCTTCCTGAAAAAGGCTATTTCTGGACTTCCATGTAAGTAAAAAAATCCACTTGTACACTGAAATGTAGACTAGAAGTATTGGATCTTAGAAAGCAGTGTGGGTTTCTACAGAATCCAAATTAAGGTACAGGGAGACATACCAAAGCAAAGTACAGTAATAGGTTTCCCAGCACATACTTATGTTTCCAAGTGTGTTAAATATAAATGGTATCCCAGACTAAACAACCTTGGGAGCCCATCATGACCAAACATATTGCCAATCTTAACAAAAAGTCGGAGGAAGTACTGCAGCTCTCCCTGTAGCTGCTGCAGCAAGCTGCCAGCTAGAAAATACTGCTCCAGAGCCAGCCACGGTTGAGGAAGAAGGCTAATTTTACAGTGTTATGTTGCATGAATTGGTGGTTAGCGCAGAAACTAAGGTTGTAAATTCTATTCCCTGCTCTACCACTGACTTACAGCATGGCTCCAGGTACATGCTATCTTATCTGGACCTAGCTTTTTCTCTGCTGTAACACCAATGGAATATTAATTACTTCTGGGAGCAGCTGAGACCAAATGTATGTAAAGCTCTTGTAGAGTCTAAGAAGCTCCATGTAAGTATAAAGTATTTGTAGAAATCCTGCCATCTAGAATTTGATTTTTAAATGTGCTGAGGCACCTGCAGCTCCCATCAACACTGAGCTGTGTGTTCTTCATGCCCATGGCAATCAAGCAGGTCTCTGGCAAGTAAGAGCCAGATTTTGAAAGGTATTTAGGCATGCAAGATGCAGATAAGGAGCCCACTGGGATTTGCACAAGTGCCTGGAAATCAGTATACCTGTAGGCACTTTTGAAAATCTTACTAAAGCAAGGTATCTTTAGGTGCTTATATATACTGAGATATTTGGCCTTATGACCATAAAAGGAGAAAGGAGAGAAAATAATAAATGATCATAATAGCATGCTACCACTATTTTTAAGCAGTACTAAATATTTTGAAAGCCTTCACAGAGGAAAAAAATACTGCTTTTTGTGGACTGTTTTTTTAAGGCATGTCAAAAATGTTTCTAGTCACCCCTGCCCTTACCACAAGGAAACAGGATGTGCATTTCCCCAAATACATGCCACATACAGCAAGCTCATTTAGAAAGAACAGTTAGGGCATCACGGGGTTATAGTGTGTTAAGAGTGCACAATGAGATTTTTTAAGTCAGCCAAAGCAGATTTTACTTCTAGTTACCCTGGACAAGTTGGACTCCTGGAACTAAAGTTTACCCATCTCTTAAAATACCCAATTTTTCATTTTGCCTTTTAGGGATTGTTTTAATTTAGGATTTAGCACGTTTCCTTACAGATCCTAACATTTGATCAGTTGAGGTTTGTAGGTGAACATTTTAGACCTTGTCTACACTTGGGATTTTCCTCAAATTGTATGTTCACAGTCGGAATTTTTCCCCCTTAAAGTTTTCCCTTTGTTGCTATAGGTAAGATATTTCTACCACTGGTGGCAACAGTGGGAGAAACTTAAGGGAAAAAAGTAAGTTTAGACAAGGTGCTAGTGGACACTACCAGGTTAGCATCTTATCTATTCTAGATGGTCTGTTTGGATGGCCTGGTGGTAAAGACATTGGCTGGCATGGTAGTCCACACTACTATTGCTGCTATTGCCATTATTAGTGACAATGGCAGAGATATGAGAAAACGTATATATATTTTTAGTGAGGCAAGGCTTTCTTTGTGGTATCTTTTTTGGGACCAACTGTATAGTTGGGAGAGAAATCTGACAAACTTTCAGGTCTACAGCACCCTTCTTTGTGTTGTATGGTGGGTGGACTCCCCTCCCTGCCTCTTGGCACATGGCCTTCTTCCCAGGTATGGGTGATGGCTCAAGGTTGCTCGACTCCCCTCTGTTATCATCAGGGATCCAGGTTTTCCATTTCCCACAGAAAAAAAAACAGATTTTCCCTTTTAACTGAAAAAAACAGATTTCTCATCTAACAGAGAAATGTGGATTTGCACTTTTGCAAAGAGCTCTCTACAGGTGGGCAGAGTTCCAGCCTGCAAGAGGCTGGGGTGAGCGGGAGGAGGGCGCTCTCGCAGGAGGCGCCCTGTGCGTGTGTATGTAGATGGCCACCAGCCAGCCTGGAGAGCAGCTCCCACAGGTAAGTCTGGTGGGGGGATTGAAGCCCCCATAGGGAGGGAGGCAGGGCTGGGACTGTTGCCCAGCTGGACAGTGTGTGGGGCTTTGGACCCAGGGCTGCAATTCACAGGTGCAGGACCCTGGCAGGGAGTATGATGGGGCTGTGGGCAGCTCATCTGGGGGGAGTAGAAGCTGGTGCGGCTGGCTCCCTGTCACTGCACACACTCCTGGGTGGGGCAGGGGGGGCACATGCCCCCCAGATCTGTGCGTGCGGTAGGCTGCAACTCTGCATAAGGTACCCAAGAGGGTGCTCCTGCCCTGCTGCCTTCCCCCTGGGGCCTCCATGACCCAGCAGATAGGACCCAACGTGACAGGGCAGACCAGGGCTGGGAGGGGAAGCTCCTTGCTGCTGTGAGCCCCATGCCACCCTCCCTGTCTAGCAGCAGTAGGGTGGCAGGGCAGTTGTGCCCCTCAGTGCTGCCGGGAGGAGAGTGGGCAGCCTGCATTTCTGTCTCTCCTCCCCAAGGGCTCCACTCCAGCCAAGCAGTGTGTGGGGGAAGGGGAGCCAGGCTCTGTGCTCTGCTTCCTGCTCAGCACACAGCAGTCACTGCCACCTCCCGTGGGTGGCAGCTGGGGCTCAGGTGCTGCTGTGAGAGGCAGGGGGCTGCGGATGTGGGTCCCTGGCTCTGTAGCTCTGGCAGCTGGGGGGCTTGTCTGGCAGGGTTGAGAGGGACAGGGGGCTGCAGGTGCGGGCGAGGGTGACCAGCAGGGCCGGGGGCTATGGCTTGAGAGTGAGGGGCCTGGACCTGCATCCTCATGAGCAAAGGGGGAGCTCTGATTTTCCATGATAAAAACCCCAAAATCCAATACAAAAATGTATAGGTATTTAGAATTGATTTTATTACAGTGACTGAGGCTTCCAAATTGTAAATATTGATACACACACACACACACACACATATATATAGTGGTGTCTCATTTTAATAATGGATTTTAGGGTTTTTTAAATCAGAGAATGTGTGTGTATGTATGTGTGTGTGTTTATCAGAGAATTTGTGATTTTTAAACAGAGAAAACCAGGATCCCTGGTTATCACTGCCACCACCACTTCTCTCAGCCACAACCTGGACCATCCTGGCTACAACACTCCAGCTTTACTAAGGTTTTAGATATAGGCTTCCTTTTTGTGCTAACTCCTGCCAGTTCCACAGGTAGCTTGTGTTTTACATTTTTGTTACTGAAGCACTGACTGCAGCAAAAGGTACAAGACAACAGAAGAAAACAAACAGAAACCCCACTGAAACCTCCCTCAGGACTGTTGCAAGTGAAACTATTAACCTCAGCTCCTGAAAGCTGTTCCCATGGTTTTTACCCACATCCCTGTCACAGCCCCATTTATTTTCCTGTAGCCCTGTGCAGACACAAAGGTCCATGCACACAGAGCAGCTTGTAAAATAGATCTGGTGATTTGGCTTTAATATGTAGAAGAAACACTTGGAGATTTGGTGGTAAGGTGCAATAAAAAAAAAATGTACTTGGAGCTTACCGCTGCCTCACTATCAGTTTTTTCTTCCTTCATCTTGATCTTTTTCTTCTTTTTCATGCTTGGCTCTTCAGCTGAAGTCTCTGGTCTCTGTTTCTTTCTCTTCTTGGGTTTCTTCCCCTCATAGGGCACATTATTATTTTCACATGATCCTCCATCAATGCCGTCCATTGCTGTACCTTCCACAGCCCTCGTTTTGGATTTCTTCTTTTTATTACTTTTAACTGGTGTGGCTTTCCCACCCATGGATGCAACCTTTTCAACGTCTGAAGGAGTTACACACTTAGTTACTTCCTCCTCCTCTTTATGAAGCTTCTTTTTCTTTTTCTTGATTATTGCACTGTCTCCAAATTTCTTCTTGCGTTTTTTTCCAGTGAGTACTTTATCTTGGAACTTGTCTTTTTGGTGTCTTGGTAGGTATTTATTGGGAATGCTAGAACTGTGGTCCTGATTAGCCTCACCTGCTGGCAAAGAAATGGTTTTGCTCTTCTTGGTCATGTCTCTGTCGCTTTCAGAGTTCTGGACAATATTCTCTCTCTCCGTTCCCGGTGTACTTTCGTGGGAACTGATGCCTTGCTTATTTTTCAAGTCACCTACTGGGATGTTGTGTTTAGAAGTCCCATGATTATTGTCCACGTTACCTTTCAATTTTAGTAGAGAGGTGTGTTTATCTTTGTTTTTCTTCTTTTTTTTCTTCTGTATAACATTACCGGATTCATCATTCTGGACAATCCCTTTTCTGTGTTTTTTACTAGTGATTTTTTCCTGAGAATTGTTTATATGCTTTTTTTGCAATTTTTTACTAGAAATGTGACATACACTGCTTTCATTACAGTTCACTGTTAAGGAGAAAATATCTTTGCCTTTCTTCTTTTTCTTCGTTTTGGTTACCTTGCTGTCCCCTTCAGACTTCTGGATGATATTCTTCCTGGGTTCTTTACCAGTGAATACATTTTCCTGATTATCTGCTGTGTAGTTTTTCAGATCTGGGTTGCAGTTCTGACTTTTCTCCAGTGGTAAAAAGTAAAGACCTTTGTCTTTCCTTTTCTTTTTTTTGAGAACTTTAGTTTTTTCCTCTGGTTCTGTTAGTGGTTGGGAATCTGGATGGCTTTCTACATTCACAGAGTTTTCAAAACATGCTTTTTTCTTAGACTTGGAGCCAACTTTCTTTTTCTTAGAATTCACCCAGTCTGAATCCTCCTTTTTTGCCAAACGTTTCTTTTCCTTCACCTTAGGTTTTGCTTGTGATTCACACTGGATGCCCTCTTCAATTTTGATGTCAGTTTGACTCCCAGTGGTTTTCATGGGTTTTGGTTTTTTCTTACGTGCAGTTTCTTTGTCATTACTCCTTCCCTCTTTCTTTACTGTCATTCTGAAAAAACAAATAAATGCACAGCTCAAACATTATACCACAGACCTCTTTGTTTAGCGCTTCACTGTCTTTTCAACTGTTAATACTAAGTGTAGCACTTGAATGTGGAGGAAAGAGAACAGTGGCCCCATTTGCAGACATACACAGCATCCAGCATCCAGTTCCCTTCGCCTGCATCCAAAAAACTAGCACGTAGCTTTGAAGATCAGGACATAAAAGCTGTTTTGTACAGAAGAGAGACCCATCGGGGATTGCTTCTGCCTGCGCTGGAAGCAAGCGACAGCTACTGCTGAAGCTTGTCATAGCTGGCATGGCTTTTCTGAGCCCTTGAATAAGGATCCTTTTCAGAGAGCTCTGCTGGCAATGTCATTAGATGCAACTAGTAATGGACCGGCGATGCCTGCATGGCCATCCTGTTATCCAAGGCTCAAAGGTGCGGGGCAATCAGGGATGAGTCACACCACAGATGGGCTCAATTACATCCAACCACAAGTTAAGAACAGAGAAAAGGAGGGACTGGAGGAGTCTGCACGAGACGCCTGGAACAAGCAAGCTGGGAGAGGAGCGAGCCTCGTGTTTGCTGCTTGTTACCACAAATACAGCCCCGGGGCAAAGAGGCGTTTGGCTGCAGCAGGCTGGGCCTGCCCTACCCTGCCCCCGCTTCCCCCTGCTGCCGGCCGGGACCGCTAGGAGACAGGCGGCCCGAGCCATGACAGCGCTGCCCCTCCCGCGCGAGCCGCGCACAAAGGACGGACCCGGCCTCGGCTTCGCCTCTTCGTGACGACGTGAAGCGACGGGAACGAGGGGAGGCGGCTTCACCCGGCCCGTCCTCTGTCCCGTGCGGCCGAGGGCGCCTGGCCCGCTCCTCCGCCTGTGCCCTCAGCGCGGCGGCGGGGGCCCGGCAGCTACCGCCCCCGCCCCGTCCTGTCCCCACGCCTCCTACCTGCCGCGGCCCCACGTGCGCTCGCCCCGGCCCGGCCCGACCCGGAAGGAAACAACCCCGCGCGGGCTGCGCCGGGTAATGGCCGCGACGGTTTGCCGGTTGCCATGGTGACCCCCCCATGGCGACTGCTGCGGAACCGCGGAGCCTTTGGGAGCGGATCTGCGCAGGTGGGAGCCGCCCCTGTCCCGCGGCCCTTCGCCGTGGGCTCCCCCCGCTGCTGCGCCCAGCTCCTGCTCCTGCCCCGCCTCAGCTACTGCTCTGCTCCCTGCCCTCTTCTCTTGCTTTGCTTTCTCCTTCCTGCCCACTCTGCTTTCTGCTCCCTCTGCCTCCTGCCCTACACCGGGCTGCCCCTGCCACCTGTGGCACCACACGGCAGGTTGCCCACCCCTGGGCTAAGGCACGGGGCGAGGCGCCGGTGGGCGGGAGACGGGGCAGGAGAGGGCAAGGCGGCTCTGGCACCGGGCTCTGAGCACAGGCGAGCAGGCCAAAGCTGTCTGCCAGGAGTGCAAAGGACTTGGCAGGATTTGGGGCCTGCAAGCCTGGATGGGAGGCCGAGTGGGGGGCTGTCTTTCAGAGAAGCCGCCGAGAAAGGACTTGCGAGGGTAAGACCTACCTTGGATGTGAGGCCCGCCCCAAAGATTCAGAGCTGACACCCAGGGTACCGATGTGAGAGAGCGCGGGGCAGGTGGTGCTGCCCATCACAACAGAGGGAGGAGGTTGGGAGGGACAAACTAGGGGTGCTCTTTGGGCTGGCAAGTGACCTGTCTCATTCCTGCTTTTTTATTTTCAAGTCCCCTCCTTTCCACTTGCTGGGCATGACCTGCCACTGCCAAGGCAAGGCTGCAGCAGCCCTGACTCCAGTATTTGCACTGGCCTTTTAGTGCCTCATCGACACAAAAACGTAATAAAACCAAATAAGAACAGAGCCGGCTCTGCAGACTGCATCCCTCCACGCAGGTTGTCACTGGTTCTGAAGCGTGCTGGAGCACATGCTGCTCACAATGGCAGAGCAAGACGTTCAAATCTCTTTTTAATAAAAATTGTATATTGCTCTTGAGATTTATGTTGTCATCAGGCATTCCCAGTAGGATTGTATTCTTGTATTATGCACTTGCAGTGGGGCCAAAGGTGTCCAATTTATTACATGCATAATGAAGCGATAGTATTCTCTCTCTTACAATGTGGTAATCTGATTCCTGAGCAAATCCAGCCTTGTGGTTTATTGCAACAAGGGAATCGGATTATTGCCTTGTAAAAGCAGAAAGGCAGTGATATGGCTACTGTAATACCCGCTTAATTAATACAAAATTAATAAGATTTGTTTCCAGCTTCTTTCCCAATGTCTGCAGTGTACACTAGGAATTTTCAGGAAGCTGAAGCTCATGCATCAGTCATTTAATTGTATCTATAAGATCATTTATTAATCTGGTCATTTATAGTGTCCTGGAGTGAAGCAGGGTTGTTGGAGTGAGTAGGTGCTTTCATTTAAGTAGTCTTAGAATAAAATGCCATCTATCCTAACTCAGCTGAATGGGAGGATAGGTATGGAGGCAGTAATGCCACTTAAGGCATACTTAATTATTAAAATGGTTGTTTGGGTGATCACAGGTTTATTTTGTGTTCAAGGTCCTGATCTTGAATTTTGATATCAAGATGCAATCTCTACTTTATATAAAGCAGGTGTGAGTATATTAAGTTAGGTAGATATCATTCCAAATATTTAGGGGTGCAGCAATAAAGATATTTTGGGCCAATACCGATGACCGATTATTAACAAGCCATATCAGCCAATACTGATCCAATTACCGATATGCAGCCCAGCAGCTTGGAGAGCAGCATCTGGCTAGTAAGACTGTTGGGGGCGGGGTCACAGGAGCATGGCGGGCAGATGGAGGCCTCACGGTGAGGGAGGAGGGGAGCTGGGGCAGCCACTACCCAGCCAGGGTGGGGCACAGGACAGAGCCATGAGTGGCTCATCAAGGGGGGATGGCGGGGGGGGAGTGGCTCCTGCCATTGCATGCACTCCTGGGGGAAGTGTAGGGGGCGTGTGCCTCCTGGATTTATGTGTGGGGCAAGGGCGGGCTGCCGCTGTGCACTCAAGGCCAGGGACTGTACTGGGTTTTTCCTGGCAGGGGGTGGGGCTGGACCAGGGCTGTGCTCGGGGGTTGCTTGAGGTACTCTGTGGCCCCTGCCTCCCAGCGCTGCTGCCACCCAGCCCAAGCTCAGCCCCAGGCCAGCCCTCTCCAGAAAGACCCTGGCATGGCCCCAAGTGCAGCCTGCCCTCGCCCCAGGCACAGATCCCAGGGGCACACAACTCCCTATGCTTCCTCTGGGGGTGCATACAGTGGCAGGAGCCCCCCCATTCCTCCCAGACAAGCTGCTTGCGGCTCCTCCCTGCACCCCATCCCAGCTGGGCAGCACCTGCTCCAGCCCCGGCTCCCCTCCTCCCTTACTGCAGAGGCCTCAATCTCCTCCCCACCCTGCACCTCTTCCCTCCCCCTGCCCTTTCTCCCCAACAAACTTACCAGCTGGATGCTGCTCTTCAAGCTGCACTCCTTGATCTGCCCTCCAAGCTCTCCATGCTGCTCTCCAGGCTGCGCACATGCACACGGCATTTATTGGAGACATTATTGGCCACATCAGCCAAAAAAGGACAATGGCTGATAATGTCAATTTTCCTTTTATCGATGCCAATACAATATGGACCAATGTATCGGTTCACCTGTACAAATATTTTAAGAAGGTAATATTCTCAATCAATAATCTCTAGCGTTTCAGTGTTGCATTTCATAACCATATATTCCTACTATGTGAATAAAATATATTTTTTTTCCTGCAGAAATCTTAGAAGTTGTTAGGAAAACTTCCCACTTAAAAAGCCTTTGAGCTCTTTACCATGGCTCTTGATTTTATTTTTTTAACTAATTTAATTTAGGGGGAAATTATATTTTTGGTCTTTATTGCTCTCCAATGAACGGATTTTGACCAACTGAGTCAACTGAAAGACTCCGATTGATTTCACTGGGAATTAGATTTGGTTCCATGCCTGGGCAAATCGGCCATTGCCATAAATAACAGATTTGAAGGACGAGAACACAACACCCAAGACTGATCTGCCATGCACATGTTCTAAAGGAATTCTGCCCTTAGGGCAGAAGTGTTACCTACTGTTCAGCATGGGGCTAGGATTGTGGACTCCTTCTGGATCTTATCTCTTAAATCTGACTCACTGATAAACTCGACAGGTCACATACCATCTTCCCAATGATTTATTTATTTTTCTGCTGTAAAAAGGAGCTACCTGATAAAGCTGTAAATGTTTATTAAGAGCTTCAGATGAAAAGTACCATTGCCCATGAGTGGACAGAATAATTAATTTCATGCAAGCACTACCATTTTATTTACACCATGCAAAATTGCTGGTTTAGGACAAACAGCCTTTCTTCAAGAGCGACTTGGCAATGCTGACCTTGACTCTCCAGGATAAGTGAGTCAGAAGTTCTAAGTCATTTTAACAAATTAAATTCCATCTTAAATTCATTCATCACACGCTGTTTTTCACATTTTCAAACAAAATGAAAAAGCATTTAGAAAGTAATATTTATGTGACTCTATTCAGAAAAATAGCGATAAAATCTTCATTGGAATGTGAAGGGGTTTTTGGTTTGTTTGTTTTTTCCTTTGTAGAGTATGAAGCAGAGCAACCTGCTTTTCCAGGCCTTTCTGAAGCAAAACAAGACTCTGTGAGTATGACTTGAGAGAAAAATCCATCCAGGGAACACTTTAAAGGTTTATTGATTTTCAGTGGTAAAGATAAAGCATTTGTAAAGCATCCCTGAATTAATTACATGAATATGAAACCATGTTCTGCAAAAAACTGTTGTTAAGCATCAAACCTAATATTCCACAGATTGCTGCATTTCTTTAATGAGACTCTGGTAAGGTTGCTAGGCCTCAAATTAGCTTACCAGCTGTGTTTTGGTTGTCATGTTGTGCTGTCCCTTTGCTCTGTATGTCTGTTTCATTCGTATGAATTGGCAGGATACTGAAATATGCAAGCGTTTTATTTACTAAACTCTTCCCATCAGGCAATGGCCTGTGATATACAAGAAAGAAGCAAGCAGGCAGAGTAAAGGAATGATGCCGTGTTTACACATATGTGCTGAAATTGCCTCTCCCAACATCCTGTTCTTGCAAAGATATTAGTGTGGACCTTTGGGACACCACCTGATGGTGAGTTTAGAATGTCCTGCACTGGGAGCGGACACCCTCATGGTGGGGAGTCCATTGATTCTAGTGTGCTGTTCATTTAAAAAACTTTGGATCAAATCCAGAAGTCATTTAAGAGAGTGCAACTCTGCAGAAGTCAGTGGTGCAGCATGTGGATAAGCTGGTTTCAAGCCAAACATTGTAAGATTTTGTTGTTGACTTTGGCAGTGGTTATAATTAAAAAAAAAAAATCTTGTGTCTCCAAATGAATAATGAGATAAATTAAGATAGACCTCTGATAAAAAGCCCGCTGCATGCAAGGTACCAAAGTAGGTGCATAAAATTAACTTAAAACTGAGGTTTGATCAGCCTAAATTAAATGCTTTTTAAATTCAAGTGAAGCATTTTGGAGCCGTCCCAATCTACTATGCATCAGTTAGCCTAGTTTGTTTCTTTACAGGAACAGTAGCATTTTACAGGGTCATTTTTTAATAGCTACTCTATGCTAACTTGGATAGTGCATTTGTTGCCCTAAGAAAAAATGAAACCATTATTTTCTGTTAAATTTATGTAAATAGAATGGAAAACTGATGATGGTGCTGTTAGTTGGGGCATAATATATCAATCCATTTCAGTTTCCCTGAACTTGTACTCATGAACATAGTGGAATGACATTCATTTATATGTTAATGAAGCTCTGCTAATTTCTCAATTAGAACCTTGCATGAATTAACAAAAAGGTCTATGCTTGTTTTAGCAACATGCAGCATATCATGTGTATTGGGAATCTGGTTGTACTATTCTTCTTCAGTAAATCAGGAGTATGCTCAGAAAACCCAACACAATTTGGATATACAGTTGGTTGTTTAGTAGAACAAACGTAAATAGCAAATTGTAATGGTAATGCAGCAG